CACAACGGTTTCAAGGCAAATTCCGATGCGTCGGGATGCATCATCACCGGCAACAAGCAGTGGGACGTTCTCGGAGACAATGAACGGGGCCCGAATGACATATTGAATTACAAGGGCAATTTCTGGGGCGACAAGGCGACGCGGCAGTTGTCCCAGAAAAACGGCAAACCCCTTGCGACCGTCAAGGACGCCACTTGTGGCGGGCACGGCATTGTCGACATGTCGGAATTCCTGACCAAGGAGCCCAAGGACTGTGGTGCGCGGGTTTTCCCTTCGGTGAAGTTCTCTCGGTGATCCGGCTGTAGGTTCGCATTGTTCACACTGGGCTTGAGGGGCGTCCTCAAGCCCATTTTCGCTTTTTTGAGGTGAAAGGAGGCATGACTGGTTCGATGAAAGGCCTTCATCTTTACCTGAACGAGGAGCATGTGGATTTTGCCGTTCGTTTCAATGCGGACTTCGCGATCATGCGCCTTAAGGTTTTCGCAGGGCAGGATTCGGGTGCCGGAGCCCGTTAACGTAGCATGGAAAGGCCCCTCTGAGGATTGCTGATCGCGCAAAAAGTGGCATAAGAGGTCTTGGAAACTCGCAAAAATGTGCACGGAGGTTGTTGAAAACGCAGCAAAAATGTGCTACTATATTGCTCGTTCATCAGAAAACCATGAAAAGAGATATAGAAGCTGACATTTTTGCGTGGAAAGCGCGGGTGGATCGCAAACCGCTGGTGCTTATGGGGGCGCGTCAGGTTGGGAAGACGTGGCTGATGCGTGATTTTGGCAAGCGCAACTTCGCCAACGTGCATGAGTTTAACTTCGATGACAATCCGGATTTGGCGAGAGTGTTCAAGGCGAGTAAAGATCCTGCGGTGATTCTGCCGCAGTTGGCGATTCTTTCGGGGCGTAAAATCGACATCGAGAACGATGTGGTGATTTTCGACGAGATTCAAGATTGTGGCGAAGCGTTGAATGCGTTGAAGTATTTCTACGAGAAGTGTCCGCGCCTGGCTGTCATGTCCGCCGGTTCGTTGCTGGGGGTCAAGATACGACGGACACGCAGGTCTGGAAACGCTGAGGCGCTTCCTGACTTGCCGAAGACCTATCCGGTCGGCAAGGTCGAGATCCTTGATGTCGAACCTGTGTCGTTTCCCGAGTTTTTGCATGAACGCAACGGCATGTTGTGGGAATTCTACCAGTCGATCAAGGGGCATGAGCCGATTCCCGAGGTCTTGCACGGCGAGCTCTGGAAGCAGTATCTTCTTTATCTGACGGTCGGCGGCATGCCGGAGGTCGTGGCGTCTTATCTGGCGGAAGGGGATCCCGCACGGGTTTGCAAACTGCAGCACGATCTTGTGACGCTTTACGAAAATGACATCGTCAAGTACAATGGAGAGCTTGATGCGGCCAAGATCCTGGTCGTGCTGAGGTCGGTTGTTCCGCAGCTCGCCAAGGAGAACAGCAAGTTCGTCTACGGCGCACTGCGGGACGGCGCCCGCGCACGCGGTTACGAGGAGGCGATCGAATGGCTCGTCTCGGCCCGCATGGTCCGGCGCGTGAACAACCTGGAGCGGATTGAGTATCCGCTGGCTTCGCAGTCAATCAGGAATGCGTTCAAGCTGTATTTCAACGACATCGGCATGTTGCGCGACGCGGCTGCAGTCAACGGCGAGTCGCTGATCTTGGACAAGGACTTTTCCTTCAAGGGCCATTATGTCGAGAACTATGTCCTTCAGCAGCTGGCAGGGAGAACTGAGGGTGCTGTCCATTATTGGGCGGAGCGAGCCGAGACGGAAATCGACTTCGTGATCCAGCACGCCGGAGAGGCCGTGCCGATTGAGGTCAAGGCGGGAACGGACAAGAGATGCGCGGCCTTCAAGTCGTTCGTCAACAACCGTCATCCGCGGCATGCCATCCGATTCTCGGCGCGCAACTTGAAAAAGGACGGCGCATTTGTGAACATCCCGCTCTATCTCGTTCCACGCTACGCGGCATGTTTGTGATTCGATAGTCAAGGCAAGAGCAAGGACGTGCGGGACGGCTGGGCGTGGTATGACGTCTTCACCTGGCGGCGGCATCGTTTCAAACTGCGTCATGCACGGTTGCAAGAGCACGTCATAGGGTTCGTGCGGCGGGGCGCTTGCGATGGATTCGGCAAACGCACTCGTCACGCACTGCGTCTTCAGCAACAACGTCAGCGATACGAGCGCCAACTCCTACGGCCAGAGCAAGGGAAGAGGCCCCGCTCCTCGCTCCTTGTGTTGTTTATCCCTGACCCTACGGCGCGGCGTTCCGCAGATTTTTGAAATGTTTTGCCGTTCGCGAGCTGGATTGGCTTGATTGCAGGATGCCGGTTGTGATACAATCCGCGTCTGTGGAGGATGTGGATGAAGACGTTTTACGGGTGGATCCTCGGATTGAGAATTCGGATTTCTTCGATTTCATCGTTGATTTTCAAACGCCGATGCGTTGACGGCATTGGCCCAATTCAAATGCCAAGTGCAGATTTGTTGGCCGATTTGCTGACCAAACAGGAAAGGATAAAGCAAAATGAATGCATCGAAGTTGTTGGTTGTTGCGGCGGTTGCCGTCTGTGCGGGCGCAGCGTTCGCGGATGCGAATCTTGTCGCACGGGCGCTGCACGGCCGATCCGGTTGACATTCCCTGTTGGCGAGACGGAATATGTTATAGAAATGGCGAAGCATATGTATCACGCTTATCCCGGTTTTCCCATAACGCGCTAAAACGTCCTGTTGGGCGTTGGCTTTGCGCGGTTTTTTTGCCTGTTGAGTCGTGCGGGCGCGCCCCAAAGGCGAGAAAATGGCCCCTGAAGGCAACCGCGGGCAAAAAAAGTACGGCAGCATCCCGCCGTGTTCTGCTAAAATAGCAGTGCACAAAAAAAACACAAAGGAGGATGCTGCCGTGGCGGGTAATATACTAAAGAAATCGCTGGACGTCACCTGGGAAGATTTTCTCAGGGGAATCTACGGGAAGAAGAGCAAGCCCGAATGGGAGGCTCTGAAGACGCTGTTCGGGGAGATCGTGACTGGGAGGTCTACGCTGGTCTCGGACCTGTCGGCGTCGCTTCGGGAGAACGCGAGCGCGGCCGAGCGCAAGCGCGCGCAGGAGCGCGTGTCGGGCTGGCTCGAGAGATACGATTTCGTCAAGGAGACCGGCGGGTGGCTGCTGAAGAACGTTCCCGGGGCCGGACGCGACGCCCTCACGTTCGCCGTGGACTTCTCCGACGTCAGCAAGGTCTTCGGCGGCGAGGGGATGGAGGGCATGGCGATGGGCAGGGACGGCTCGACGGGCGAGATCCGCATGGGGCACGACTTCATCTGCGTTTCGCTCGTCGGCGCGGACCATCCCGAGGCCCTGCCGGTCTACGTGAAGCTCGGCCGGGGGAGGAAGGCCACGCCGGGATGCTCGAGGAGGCGATCGACGCGGTCATGGCGCAGACGGGCGGGGAGGGATGGCTCGTCGAGGACCGCGGCATGGACGGGGCGGAGCATCTCCGCGGCCTGAAGCGGGGGCGGGCGCAAGGCGGTCGTCCGCGTGAAGGACGTGGGGCGCGACGTGTTCGGCGACGGACTGCGCGTCGACGAGTCGCTGGGGGAGCGCGAAGTTCTTCGACGCGATGCTCCGCGTCCGCACGGGAAACCGGCGCGCGAAGATCCGCTGCAAGCCCGGCGTGGTGCAGTACTGCGAGAATCCGAGGTCGAAGGACGCGGCGACGGAGGACGTCGGCGTCCTCGTCGTCGAAAGCCGCTTCGACGAGAAGTCGATCTACCTCTACGTCGTCTGCCCGGACTGGGTCCTCGAGAGTCCCGCGCAGACGGCCATCTACGCCGAACGCGCGGCTCAGGCCTACTGCGACCGCTGGCAGATCGAGACGTCGTTCTTCGTGATGAAGCAGGAGTTCGCGCTGGAGAAGGCGCGGGTGAGGACGTTCAGGCGGCTGGAGAACATCTTCTCGCTGTGCGTCCTCGCGTACGTCTACGCGACGCAGTTCCTCCGCAGGACGAAGGGCTTCAAGAAGATCCTGAAGTTCCTCGCCGACAATCTCGGGACCGTGTCCTCGAAGACGCACGCGCTTCTGGCGGGCATCCGCGCGCTCGTGAAGGAGGCCCGCATCCGGTTCGTCAGCGGACGGCCGAGGAAGCGGACGGTCGACGACAGGCAGCTGACCCTGCCCGGGTTCTGAGGCGGACGACAGGAACGCTTCTGGCGCGACCCCGCACGGAGTCGCGCGGCGGAGCTGTCGCGTGCGAACGGCGCCGACGGCCAAAAAGAAGGGGAAACGCCGTTTTCTGGCGGTTGGGACGTCGGCGGAAAAAAGTCCGAAGCGCTTTTGGGACGGGTCGAAAATATTTTTCGCCCAGTGTTTTCGGGGGGATCGTGAAAATCCGGGATAAATTATCCCGAAGAAACCGGGATAAGCGTGATGTATTGCGGCACTTGACGCTGGACAAAAAAATGGGTACCATATGCGCGTTTCATGAAAATGTAGATTTCTACGAGAATAAGAATGGACATTAGGCGAGATTTTTACTTAGATGAGCTGAAGGCGGTTATGCACAAGTTGACGTTGGGGTCATCGAGCGCGTGGAGAAGGATTCCGTCGGCAAGAGTGTCCGCAAGAGTTATGAAATCGACTTTGTGGTGAATTCGGGTTTTCGGAAAGTGTATGTGCAAAGTGCGCTGGAAATGACGACAGAGGAGAAGGCGGCGATGGAACGTCGTTCGCTTATGTTGACAGGCGATTTCTTCCGCAAGATCATTGTAACCGGCGGCAATGAGCGGCAATGGCAGGACGAAGACGGCATTGTGCACGTTGGGGTCATTCCGTTCTTGTTGGACGAGACGATCCTTCTTGGCACGTAGACACGTATGCGTTCGTCGAGGCGTCAGGTCGATTGTTATGCCGTGTGGATGTTTGGCCAGAATAGGCAAGGAGTAAAAGAAATGAAGAGCGCATCGAAGTTGTCGGTTGTCGCGGCGGTTGCGGCAATGGCGGCGGTCGCGGCGGCGGGAACGCCCGTGACCTGGAACCGTGCGGAGCTGGAGAAGACTCCGCAGACGTTCGCGTCGGGCCGTCCGGAGAAGGACGGCGTGAAATCGCTTTTCTACGAGGGCGTGCCGTACGAGGGCAAGGCGACGCGCGTCTTCGCGTATCTCGCCGTGCCGAAGGTCGAGCCGGGCGAGAAGGTGCCGGGCATGGTGCTCGTCACGGCGGGCGCGGCAGCGCCTTCCGCCGCTGGGCGAAGTTCTGGTGCGACCGTGGCTACGCCGCGATTTTCGATGGGACACGTGCGGCTGCGTGAGCGGCAACGAGTTCGGCGACGAGCAGGGCGGGCACCGCCGCCACGACTGGGCGGGTCCGCAGGGCTGGGGCGACTTCAAGAACGTCGGGCGGCCCGTCGCGGACCAGTGGCCCTACCATGCCGTCGCGGCGGTCGTGCGGGCGAACTCTCTCTTGCGGTCGCTGCCGGAGGTCGATCCGGAGCGCATCGGCCTCACGGGCGTCTCGTGGGGCGGCTACCTCACGTGCATGGCGGCGTCCGTCGATCCGCGTTTCGCGTTCGCCGCGCCCGTCTACGGCTGCGGATTCCTGGACGACAACTCCGTCTGGAAGGACAAGAACGGCGAGAACGGCTCGACGGCGGCCGAGTTCGCGAAGTGGTGCGGGCTCTTCGACCCGCGCCACTATCTCGCCGGGGCGAAGTGCGACTTCCTCTGGATCGACGGCTCGAACGACTTCGCGTATCCGCTCGACTCGCTGCAGAAATCGGTGGAGTCGCTGAACGGAGTCTGCTGGTACCGGGCGACGCGGCTCAACATGCCGCACGGGCACGGTCCCTACGCCGAGCATCCGCAGGAGCTCGTCGATTTCGCCGCGTTCAAGCTGCGGCCCGAAGGGGGCGGCGCGGGTGTCGTATCCGTTCATGCACGACTGCCGCGAGTCGGGGGGCGAGGTGTGGGCGACCTGCACGTTGGGCGGGGCCGACGGCGCCGCGCGCGCCGAGCTCAACTGGACGGCCGACCGCGGCCGGTGGCAGACGCGCGCGTGGAAGACGCTGGAGATGAACCGTTCGGGCGGCGGTTCGATTCGCGACGGCCGAACTTCCGGACGACGTCTCCGCCTGGTACGTGAACTTCTTCACCAAGGACGGCAAGTGCGTCTCGGGCGAGCTGTTCGAGCGGACGGGCGAGGAGGCCGCGGCGCTTCGCCGGCGGCGCGCCGCGTTCGCGAAGGACGGACGCTTCCAGGCGGATTTCTCGCGGAAGGCGCGCGACGTCCGTCCCGCGCTCCACTCGTCCGGCTGGTCGCCGCGCCTCTATCCGCGAAAGCTGGTGAACGACGACGCGGCGATCAAGGCGCTGCGCATGACCTACACGCGCACGCACGACTGGGCGCTCGTCAATTCGGGCCAGCGCCTCGTCGACACGTGGCCGCGTCTTCCCGCTGATGCATCTCGACCCGAAGGACCCGAAAGAACTACGTGTTCGGCCCCACCGACGAGGCGCTGAAGCTCGCGCGGAACGTCGGGCTCAAGATTATGTACCGGCTCGGCGAGTCGATCGAGCATACGGACGGCGTCCACTTCAACGTGCTCGTGCCGGACGACTACGAGAAGTACGCCGAGGTGATGGCGGGCATCGTCCGCCACTACAACCGCGGCTGGGCGAACGGCTACCACTGGAACATCGAGTACTGGAACTTCTGGGAGGAGCCGGACGGCATCTCGAACCTCTGGTGTCTGCCCGGGAAGGACGGACAGGACGCGATGGCGATGCGCAAGCGGTTCATCAAGCTCTTCGTCACGGTGATGAAGCGCCTCAAGGCCGAGTTCCCGGAGATCAAGTTCGGCGGGCCGGCGCTCATCGGCTGCAACCTCTCGTATTTCCGAGTACTCTGCGTTGATACCACTGCTT